TTTCTTCATGCATGCAGATGTGTATGTAACTTCTCTATGCACATCTATACACAGACACTTTTCTGCAGCAAGGTAGTCTGAATCTGAAATTGCCTCTGCATCAACGCCATGTATAACACGTTTATACCCATGTGTTGGAATCTATTTGGGCCAACTGCAGAGTCCCTTCATCCTTGTGCATTCCGAACGCTTTTTGGGGACTCTTTTTGGGTCACTTTCGGTAGGGGAAGTTTGGGTATCACCCCCCAAAAATGGCGGTTTCCTTGTTGGCTTAGCTTTAGACCGACCTGCAAAGCAGAACCCAAGTCACCAGCTGCTGTGGAGCCGTCCGAACCGGAGCTAAGGAGCTGGGAGTTCTGTAAGGACCATGGTGACGGCACCAGATACGAAAACTGCACGCAAATCCCCTTGCCAGTTGGAGGAACCTGGGAATCAAACCTGAAGAATGGTGCTTGTACATACCCTTTTTACATACCCCTTGCAAAAATGAACCCAAACCGAAGAGTATGAACCAGGGGTAATTCCAATCAACCTGCACACCCATTTCGGATCCACTCTGGGACGTAGACTGAGGCCCCCCACCTCTCCGGGCAGAGGCTTTCAAGGGATAGTTTCCCATGCGCCAAGACGCCGACGGATTTGCGCGCCGGAGAAGCATGGTCCAGGGCCGGTCGGGCCATGGCCATGAATCTGGTTCATTGAACATCTTTTAAGAATTGGTGGACCAAAATGTCCAAGGACCCCAAAAACGGGCCCCAAGTTTTAGTTCATAGCCACGCAAGCGCGGGCGGAGGCCCGCGCATTTGACCATGGTGGTCTACTGAGATGAATGGAAGTGGGGGGGGGGAACTCCCTTTCTTCACAAGAAAAGCAAAAAGGCAGCCTGATGCAATCTTGACTTCCCCTCACACAATACCCCTGTCGCTCAATATTCTCATGTGGAAAATACACGTTTTGACTGTCCCAAATGGCAACCAGTTCCATTTGGCTGAATCCAGTACGTTCCGATCCAATGATCTTTGGGGGGAATAGGTGCTACCGGCGGCAATGCAGACACGAGGCACGGCCAAGATGTGGTGGTACAGACGTCGTTCTCGTGAGGGTCTTTTTTTTGGTTTTGCAGGGACCCCAGAGCAAAACCGGCGTTTTGGGGGGTTCTCCAACCAAAGACACCCACATGCGGCATTCTATTTACGTCCTTTTGGCTTTGGCAGTTCCCCTCTTAGACCTCGTCGAAGTGGACATCGATCACCTTGCACGTGTCTTGGAAGAGCAGAACGTCCCACATGCCATGCCCCTTGGGCATTTATGCTGTCTGTTTTGTCCAATTGGCAGATGTTGGCAGCCATTGGGTATGTGCCAAAATTATTCTTTTTGTTTCCAAAGGGTACACTCCCAAAACACAGCCTCAATCTGACCCTCCGACACGTCGCAGTCGGCGCAGCCTGCCTTTAGTGCCTTTGGCGTGCCTGCGCGCGCTTGCCCGTCAAAAGAGAATTTGGCGTGCGGGGGAGTGGTGTCGTCTTACTTGGAGTCAGGATTTGTTGATGTTTCTTGGATGCAGATTTGGTGGACTTCTTCTTTTGCCACAATCGTGGACGCTTGCGTTAGCTTCCATGATTGTTGGAAAGGGGGCAAGTCTGAGCAAATCATAGCCACCGCTCAAAAATGGGTTTGGTTTGTGACCGAGAGCCCACATTGCCTTGGGGGGTTCTTCACTTTAGGTTGCGCTTCTGCAACCTCAGCGAGCCAGGTTGATGGGATTCCAGTGGGAAAGTAGGAAGTCTTAGGCGGGGTGCTCACATTTCTCCTTGTCCTTGCTTCCCGTTTAAATTCATCCAAACAGGCCCCAGGGGAATGTGGCATACTTTGAGACTAGGAGCGGCGAATTGGATACATGAGTTGCTGTCGGGGGAACACCTTGTTCATCTGCCAGGTGGGTCAGCATCACCTGGCCAAAGGAAGAGTTGGACCCTGCTAGATGGCTGAGGACTCATGAGCTTTGCTTTTCATGCATGGGTTTCGACACACTGGCGCTGCTTGAGCCGGCAATTATCCTGAATGTGTCACGAAGGGTTGTCCGTGCCACAAGCGTCCGCAAGCGTTCACGTGTGGAACAAGTTAGCGTGCTGTTGGGATTCGCGAACCGTGAAGCTCCACTTTGCGTGACAGGTGCAGCCATGCAGAGCTTTTTGTCCCAGGTTCGTGGCAGGCACCGCACAGTACTTTGGAGCGGCGGGTGCAGATCTCGGGCGGTGCTTTAGAGCTTGGCGCGCAGAGTCCGTGGCAAGAGCAGGAGTTTCTTGGTTTTTAGATTTTGTGGCAGATTGAGGTGAAGCCCGAGACGAGACATGACGAGACACCGATTGCCGTGAGACATGGCGAGAAGCGTGTTGCAGGCCTTGCAGAAAAATGCCCAATCATGGCCCGAAATATGTGAGAAGAGGCATGACGGGAGACGTGGCAAACGCGCTAAAAGACGTGAGGGGACGCAAGGAAGGTTGCGAAGTAAGGCGCGAGGAGATGCACGACGAGAGGCACGATGGGGAGACGTGACAGAGAGACGTAGCTAGAGATGTGGCAAGAGACCCGACAAACAAATGATGAGAGACGTGACGTGACAAGAGATTCGGCGTGGGATGTGACAAGAGACGTGATGCGAGACGTGACGACCTACGCCGACGAGAGTTATGACGGGAAACGTGACGCGAAACATGCCCTATGACGCCACGAGAGTCGCATCGTAAAACGACGTGACGAAAGACGCGTGACGAAAGATTTGGCAAGAAACGTAAGGACAGACGTGATTCGACGTATTATTGTGCAAGAGAAGTGAGAATAATTTTGACGAGACGAGCAAGGAGGGTCGTGACGTCAGAGAGACAGGACGGACAAGGGACACAACGAGAAGCGCAACGAGAGACGTGACTCAAGGCTTAAAGTGAGACGTGACGAGAGATGTCGCCAGAGACATGACGCGGGACGAAAGACTTGAAGAGAGACGCTGCCAGAGGCGTGAGTTTCAGTGCTTTCAGAAAGTGAACCAATTTGCATTGAGTTTCGTGGTTGTATCAGGCTTTTCGTCCAGCGAGTGGCTTGCAGCTCAGAAGCCCGAAAATTACACAAGGTCGGGCATGTGCACTGCCCAGAAAAAGAGGCCGCTTTGTGTTTTTGCTAGGTCACAGACAAGTTTTGGCTTCCATCAACGATATTCATCAAGTCACTAAACTTTTTGGATTTTCCCGCGCAAAATACCCTGAACGTCTTGGAAATGTCGGGGGTTGGGTCCAAAGATATCAGAGAGTTGTTTAGATGGGGCTTATGGCCTATTTACTAGGGAAACCCGTCGTTTGTTGCAGTTTAGGCCGCCTACTTATTATGTGAATGACACGACAGGAAAACGCGTGGCCTCGCTCGGTTGGCTCAGCAAAAATCGTGTGCTGCACGGGTGCACTACTTGTGCTGAGATCAGACCGTCGGAACCTGACCAGGGCACCTTGGAAGAACGCCTTGGGGCTCGATTTGCGCTCATCTTTGGACCTCCGGGTGGCAGCAGGGGGAGGGGGGTTACCAGGATTTTCTATCAGCAACAGTGACTGGCAGCACTCAAAACTCAAACTCTGGCTCCAGTTTTGGCTTTGGTCCAACAATAGCTGCCTGCGGTGTTCCAAAGCCCTGTTGTCGGAACCGGTTGGTGAGTCGGTGTTGGGTTGATGTTTATAGGTTGGACACACATTTGGGACCTGAGGATTTTCCAGGGGCAGGATGTAGTTTCCTTCGGGCTTTGCACTGGTCTGCCCGATCCGCTCATGAAAGCTGAGTCAAACCGAACCCCACGCGAGGGGTACCAAGACTTGCCAAGGCGTACCATTTTGGGGTAGGTGCACCACCCATTTTAGTCTGTTTTAGTTTATTTTAGTGGGGATTGGGATGTCCACTTGGGGTACGGGATTTTGACCCATGGCCAAATAAGGCAACACAAGGCCAAAATGCGGCCACACCCGGCGTCAACGGTAGGGCACAAATCCGTCGTTTTTTCCCGCGGCTTTGACATGAACCGAGGGAAGTCTTCCCGGTCCGTGACGGTCCCTTTTCCCTCTCGCTGGGTTCATGGATGTTTAGGGCACTCTGCGACTCCTTTCCGACAGTTCCTCTTTTTTTGTGGGCCTCCACGGTAAATGTTTGAAAGTCTTCGGCATCCTTCACGGCTTTCTTGGGACCATGTATGGCAATCGATCCCGAAGCTACCTGGGTTTTGAGCACGTGGCTCGGGGCGGGGCGTTTTGAGGGAGCTGTTCTCTCGATCCCTAGAGGCCATGATCCAGTTTTTTTTGTTGTTGCGCCAAGGTAATTCCTGCGCAGGGAGCAGCCCCAGGCGGGGGGATTTTTTTTTTTTTTTTTTTTTTTTATTTTTTTTTTCGGTTTAGGCAAAAGCCGCTGGAGTCGTCCCGCTGCCGAAGGGATGGGTCGCTCGTTTTTTCTTGGACGTTTGGAGCTCGGTTCCGAGCGGTTGACGGCTTGACCCCACGTCGGGCGACTTTCCCCGGCCAGCGGATCGATGGCGCACATGGAGGGCTTCAACGTGAACGAGATGGGATCCGCGGGGGGCTGATGCTTTCACCTCACTCCCGACCGGTGTCCGAAGAAAGCGAGAAGTCCTGGCAGGTTCCCACCTGCTTTTGGGTTTTGCGGGTATGAACAACAACGCCTTTTGGACGTGGAAACTGGGGTACACTTCCCTCCCCAAAGGTCCTGGGCCTTGGAACTTCCGACGGCCAGCTTTCTCAACGGGAGATCCAGGTGCAATGAGCAATGCAAGCTTGCCCACAAGCATGGCAAGTATTTCGCGCTTTCTTTGTTTTTGAGTAAACCGCTTGGCGGCCGCTTCAAACAATTCAAAGCGCTTGAAAATGCAAAGCGACTCCTCGAGCGAGGCACTTGAGATAGCAAAGCACGAACACCGCGCCCCGCACCGATCGGCCTTGCCGTGCCTTGCCGCCATGGTGTCCAGTGAAGCCTGGCGTTTCCAAAAGCATGCCTCTCGGTGGACCAAAGGGAGTCGACCTTTGGAGCTTTTGGTTTTCTTCTAGGTCCCCCAGTAGTGCCCTTGTACCCCTTTTTTTGGGAGAGGTTTCCCCTACTGAAATAGACTACAGAAAAAATAATCGGTTACCAACTTATTCCAACCTCTCCACTGGAGGACCTTTTGTTTTGGCAATCCATTTTTTCGTCAGTCCTAAGGGTCCCAAAGGCTCATCGCCTGGCCCATTTCTGGGCCCAAACATGTGTGCAGCTGAGGCATGGATCGCCACGCTCTTCGCCATCATCTCGGGCTATGCGGATGTGGTGAGCCTGGCGAGATACCAAGCCTTTGCTAGCATCCTCACTGGCAACGTGATTTGGCTGGCGAGGGTCACGGTGCATCCCGCATCGACACTTGTCTTGCCCTTTTTTGCGGGGTTACTCCCACCAGCTATCATGGAAGTGCACAAACCCCCTTTCCAGGAGGAAAGTAGTCTTTCTACAGGGGTCTGTGCACTTCCATGTTAGTGGGAGGGTAAACACTTTTGTCTTGTTTTTATTGGCCTTCGGAGCTCCTTGGCCTTTGGCCTTTCCTTCATGCATTCACCTTGAGGCTGCAATCTATGCCATTTGCATCCCCAGACATCAGGAGTGTTCTCCCTGCATGTTTTTCAAAGTCCCCAAGCAAACAGATGGTTCCTCCAAGCACAGTTTTGGGTTCCATGTTCTGAGCACTCACCCTTCGCAGGATCGAGAGTTGAGGATTGCTGAACCTCCAAAGTTTCTCGGAAAGGAACTATTTCGGGTAGGGACAGCCCTTGTGCCATACGGGCGTCTCTTATAAAGTGAGGGAACCCTGCAAATGGGTTGGGTTTCCCTTCAAACTCCTTTAACATGTACCTGAAAAAGGGCGCCCTCAAAAAAAGACAGGGCCATACTGCCCTTTTTATTTTCTACCGTAGATTTTGAGTTTCCACCGTGGAGTCGTTCAACAGGATGGACTTGGCTGAAAGATCGGGACCGAGGTGCCCTTTCGGTGATTCCCTCTTGGGAGTTGAACATGATTCTGGCAAAAATTTGTTGTTTCCTTTTAAGGGTGACAAGGAACCCATCCACTGATTCGGAGCCAAAGCAGTGGGAAGGTGACGCTTCATGGTCCAGAATGGCCACTAATGGTCGCTACTAGTCACTATTAGGCCGCAAAGGCTCCCCTTGCTATGGCTCTGAATCTTTCTTTGGATGTTACAAGAAGAAATCGACTTCCAACTTCTGATTCTTTCCAACTGGGCACCAGCTTGCAATACCAGAATCGATTGAAGAACTGTTGTCATGCACCCCGTTTGACGGATGTACCCCCGGCACGTTCACAGGAAGTAACAGCATTATTGTTGGTGCTTGTGGCCAACATGGGGTGCCTATGGGCCATGGGTTATCCATGAATCATGGCTTCTGTACGAATAGTAAACCAGCAAGGGGCCATATAGCGCCCTTGGTTCACCAAGTTCTGTTTGCCTTCAAGTGACGAGAATGCCGGAAAGCCTCCCTCCCCGACCAGAAGAAGTGCGATTACTGGGATGGGAATGAGTTGTTGAACCGCGAACTACATCCCTTGCAGTTTCCTTTACGGGGATCCCTAAACGCGCTGTATGCAGCTTTTGGTTTGCTTGGCCGCAGGGTCCAAGGCCGTTTCGTGGTCCGGTGGGCAAGATCAACTCCGGCCGAAAACATGTTTGGGGCATGAAACCTCATTTTCAACTTGGGAACGAGATCTCAGAATGACAAACCTACCTGAGTATCCAAAGACCATGTCAGCCATGGGTCTTTGGGCCTTCCAGTGATCCGCTTCCGAGGAACGACAAGCACAGCGGGTGGTTTTACGCGGCTCTGTGCGGGTCCTTCGCTCTGGGCGCCTTTCTGCATCGCATCTGCGAGTTGTATTGGCCCAACCGCGGGGGCTCCCTGGCAGTGCTGCCCTTCGCCATGCTCATGCGCCCCGGACGAGTCGGAGTCACCGGCGTCGGAGTCCGGACGCGAGGTGGATTTTAGGTGATGGGTGACGTGGAGGGATGCTCCAAAAGAGGTATAGGGGTGTGTCTGTCTGTGTGTGTGTGTGTGTGTGTGTTGGGTGACGTGCGTGTTTGTGTGTGTGTGTGTGTGTGTGTGTGTGTGTGTGTGTGTGTGTGTGTGTGTTTGTGTTTGTGTTTGTGTTTGTGTCTGTGTGTGTGTGCGTGTGTGTTTGTATTTGGTTAGCGAAGCTCGAGTAGTTGGGGGGTTTGCCTTTGCTTTCCCTTAGAAACCATCAAGCAGGGGGTACCCTCAACAAATGACACCCATGACTTAACGCCTCGGGTTTGCATGTTCCCACTCTGCCTTTTTCGGATTCTCCCCATGACTTGTCTCCGGAAGATTCCGGGGACGAGGTGGCAACGCTCATGGAATGACACTTCCTTTGATGCAGAGCCCCTTTGAAGGAGCCTGGGCCCGGCAGGCAATCGCGAGGATTCCTCTTGAGAGGTTCCACATGGGATGAGTGTTAAAGAGTCATATTGCGGTGAGGCACAGGAGTCTGCCGGATTCCATTTTGTGGTCTCCACACAATGGCCATACACCCCTGAGTTTTTCTTTGGAGCAAGCCTGAGAAAGGCTGATGATGGAGACGGTGTATCTGATTGTAGACAGCGACCGCGTCTTCGACGAGCCATATCTGCGTTGGAGCGTGGTCCTGGTGTCTCCCATGTTTGGCGTGATCTCTGCGGCATGTAGCACTGGGCGCATGGGCACCCACACCACCATGGTCACGGGCCACGTCTTGACGATCTCCGGCCTTCTAGGCCTTGGCTTGCTTCGAAAGGACCCAAGGTTCACCGCTTTAAACAAAATCCCTGCGTATGAATGTGGGGGTGCTTCTCCCTAATTTTAGTGGGAATTCACTTTGGAGATTAATATGGCTATGGGTCAAAATTGCGCAAACCACCAGGATATGGACCACAGGTTTTAGTCCTTGCACTTTACCAGTGGAACCCATTTTGGATACCTGACCCACAGGGGTGTCCCTGGCTTTAGTGGGGATTCATCACTTTTGAGGGAAACACCCCCCCACGTTAACAAACAGGGGTTTATCAATCCGGGGTCAACATTGAGGGGGCCTGGTGCGGTACCTGCCTTTGGTGCAAGATCCAAACCTGGACGAGTGGCACGGTGATGTACCGTCCAGCACCCACCCTCCCACGGAAATAGATTCAACACCAGGTCTGAAGTTCGGATTTTGATGTAGTTGAAGACTCATTGTTTGGAAGCTGCCAGTTCGCTCAGCTTTCGAGTGGGAGTGTCTCTTTTTGGGGAATCCCCCCAAATGGTAGTAATTCTTATGATTTCACTTAGAATCCACAACAGTAAATAATGGGTGCCCTCAAAAAAGTCACAGCCAGGGAAACGCCGGGTAGGCAATCTAGTCTTTCTCAGACAGCTGCGCGAGCCGGAGATCCAAAAGCTGATCATGAGCCTTTGCGACTGGTGTCCTTTTCACGCTTGGTGATGGATTCCACTAGGGTCAATTTTCTTCTCATATCCATCGCTTCCAACCCCCAAAGGCCTTGGCAAACTCGTTGTCAACTATGTGCCATCAGCCTCCTTGACGTGTTGGCGGTGCACTTGGGGAATTTAGACCGCTGCAAGGGTTGCTAGACAGGAAACCATGCAACCATGGCAAACATGAGACGTTTTGATCAGCTATCGGAGTTTGCTGAATAGGGACCCTCCAAACGCGTGGCTTCCTGAACTTGCGAAATCGACCAAAATGCAATTTCCCAACCCAAACGTTTTCAAAAGCTTCTACTTCCATTTGGGGGTGTCTTATGTATTTTTAGGGACCCGTTTTCCTTTTGGTTCTCCTTAAAGAAGCAAACCCAAAAGGGTACCCTCAACAAAAGACACCCATTTTGCAAGTGAGGAGCACCATGGTGATTGCTGGAACCATAGGTGGTGCTTGCTTGGGCGGTTGGATGGTGATGACAGTGAGCTTGCACGTGCTTTTATTCCCGGTGCCAATCATCACCTACGTCCTGCTGTGGTTGCATCTTGGCCCCATGGGATCATTTTGGAAGTTGTTTTTGCTTTTTTTGCTTTTCTTGGCCCCATGTGATCTTTTCTTTTTCTTTTTGTTTCCTCTTTTTTATTATTATTTTAAATTTCTGTATTTATTTTATTTATTTGCTGTTTGTTTGTTGTTTTTTGCATAAGGTTCACTGCTTTTGTGTGCGACTCTAGAAAGGGTACCCCAACAATGGCTTTGGTTTTTCTTTGGGCTTCTCCTAAAACACGCCACAAGGGCGGGGGGGATCTCAAAGAAAGACGAGCCCCCGACATGGACCATGGAGCCTTCAATCCTGGGGCAAAGCCTAGGGAAACCGCCAGGACTCGAATTGGGGTATGGGTCAAATAAAATTACCAGGATATGGACCGCAGCATAGGTGTCCTTTCTGGTTGTTTTGGTAGAAAAATAGATGGCCCTGGTTTTCCTGGCGGTTTAATCATCTACCAGGGCCATCTATTTCACCTAAAAGGACACCTATGGACCGCAGGTTTTAGATGGTTCCAGATGGTTTTTGAGATGGGTCAACATTACACCAGATCTGGACCGCAGGTTTTAGTCTTTGGTTTCATTACCAGGGCAACCCATTTTCGCATTTTGTTAACCCACCGCCAATTGGTCTCAGCTCAAAGCGGAATACGAGCCGCCGCCCATCTCCGTTGCTGTCAAGGGAAAGTTGCAAATGGGAGAAGTCATGCCACATTTTGCCGGTACACATGGGTATGGGTCAAAACTAAACCACCAGGATATGGGCCCCAGAGTTTATGCTTCCATTTACCAGGGTTGATTTTGGGATATTACCCTCCCGTCCACTAACATGGAACCCACCAGAAGGTCCCTTCTGAAGGAAAATGACCTCTCAGGCAGGTTTCGTGTTAGTGGAGGGTACCGGTACACATGGGGTTCATTCGCGGGATGCGGGATGCATAATGCAGAATTGCTGTGGCTTTCTCACGTTTTGGAGGGGCAGTCGTCGCCTGAGGCATGACCACCTCTGTCGCCCGAGATCTTTGATCAAGAAGGCACAGCTCTTCCTGTTGAAGGGGTTTGTCTTTAGGCACAAGTGCCACCAACAAGGGTACCCTCCCTCTTTTTCCCATGACCACTGGAGGTTTGGGCGTTGTTTCCCTTGTCTTCCTTTCATCAAAAACCACCTTTCTTCCCTTCCCTCAATGGTTTGTGCTGGGGCTTTGGAGGGGGGCTTCCTCTCACCCTCCAAGATTCCAGGTCCGATTGATCCATCCGGTAGGTACAGAAGCGCATGCGCGAGAACGCGCGCGACTTGGAGTCGATGTCCGTGGAGTCGGTCTCAGATTCGCTGGAAGACGATGAGATCTCTTCCGTGGAAGAGGACTCAGAGGTACAGTGCTGACTTCCAGCGACTGAGGCTCAGCGGATCCGGCGCGAATCTTTTTGGGATCATGGATCTCTTCCCAGCGGTCCCGGTATTTTCCAAAGACTTGGGGAGCCAAAAGGCCCCTGTGCCATGCATGCAGCTTCTTTTGGACGTCCAGCCGGGCATTTTGAGGACCTCCGGGAGGTTTTGCCCCATGTAAAGAGGTTTTGGTCCAGAGCTGGCGCTGGTGGTGAGAGCATTGAACAGCTCTCTTCGTGACACACAGCCTTGCACAATGCTAGGAGTGGTGGCAGTTGTTTAGCTTTCACCAATCATTGGGAGTGCGCAGGAGCAACAGTCAAAACCTGCAGTCCCAATTCCGAGAAATCCCCGAGACTCGGTTTGCAACTGTTTAAGCAACCAGCCGCACAGCCCATAGAATTGGTGCGGATCTTCGCTCTTTTGAGTTACCATAGATTTTGGGTAGAGCCCGTAGAGCCCGTAGATGCGCTTTGACTTTGAGTCAAGTTATGGGGTTCCAACTTTTCCCCGCTTGCTTCATACACGGAGCCTGTCTATGAGGCGCGGCGGTCAACAAATCCAGGTCCATTTGGCTTCGGATGGGGGAACCTCGGAATTTCCGCAAAAGCCAAGGGACAAACCCCCAGTTTTAGCATGCCCAAAACGATACACCTGGACCGTTTCTTACAAGATTCCGATTTGCCCTCAAGGGACTTTTGACATCACCGATTTTTGGATAAAGGCCATTCGAAATAAGCTTGCTTGTGGTTGATGTGGGTGGGACATCTTTGAGGCCCGGAAGAAAGCATAGCATGACCTCCCCCAGTTCTAGGCATCTCTCCTTGCAGCTATCCAAACCCTGCCCCATTTCAGCCAGAGATCGGCCACTCCCCTACTGGCGGATCGGGTTGGGAGCGAGCTCGCCGCTTGCGATGGTGTCGACCGACAGCTGGCGCATGCAGAAGCATGCGTGGATTGCCGCAATGCTTGCTATGGTCACGGCTTACGCGGACGTCGTCAGCCTGATGCGATACCATAGCTTCGCCAGCATTCTCACCGGCAACGTGATTATGCTCTGCAGGGCAATGGTGGATCCGCAAACGAACCTCATTCGGTCTTAGTTTTTTTGGTGTGGTGCCTGTTGTGTAAGGATTCTTCCAGTACACCCTAGGGTTACACCCTCGCAAAATTGCCAAAACTAGTCCCAATAAACAACCAGAACCAGGTTATATCTGGAAATAGCAAGAGTGCGGCGATTCCTAGCGGGTGTAATCCCATTGTGCAATTGGAAAATCCTTGGATGTGTGCAAGTATGTTTAGTTCTTGGGTTGTAGCTTTCCCATCAAGCTGCGCCTCCCTGGCCAGTCGTTTTCACAATTTCAGGGCTTTTCCAGACATTTCACTTGTCGCTTTTGGAGTGGGACGCCCCTGGTTCCCCACAGCAGTGGCTTGCCCGGGATCCATGATTCAGCATGTTGTTTGCATGGTCACTTCCGTGCCTTGATTCACTTGCGAACCGTCAAAGCCCCAGGCCCTAAACCCTAAACCCTAATTAAACCCTAAACCCTTCTTGTGTCAATCCATGTTGGTTTCGTTGCTCCCTTTCGGAACATGACCGTTTCCCCGGCAGCGCACAGGTTTTTTGCTGCTTTGCCACGGGGTCGAAGACCAATGCTTCGTTCAGCGGTTTCCCTTTTTGTCTAAAGGCCTTTTCGTTGCTTTCGAAGCGCGGGATTGCTTGTGGAAATACATCAGAGAGGCAGGAGCATAGGTGTCCTTTTTGGTTGCTTTGCTAGAAAAATAGATGTTCCTGGTTGACCTGGTGGTTTAATCATCTACCAGGGCCATCTATTTCCCCTAAAAGGACACCTATGAGCAGGAGGGGGGGCGATGGGGGGGAGGGGGGCTCATTGTGCATCGTTTTGACGCTTAAGTAGATGGCTAGCCTTTGGTGGATCCTTAGCCCCGTGGATCTGCGTAAGTAGGGCCCCCCCCCCCCCGTAAGAGGGAAGAGTATGTATAATGTGCCGGGGAGAGGTCTGGGCATCAACATCACACTGAGAGCTGGCTTTCAGGCAGATCTTGTATAGGAATTGATTTCATAAAATTGCAAATCTTAGTCTGAGAAATTGGCTTCCAGGGGAATTTGGTAGGAATGAAATTGCAGATATTACAAATTAATTTGTAAGGTAAAGAAAATATTCTCCAAAATAACAAATATTACAAATTTTACAAATTCTAGTCTGAGAAATTAGCTTTCAGGGGAATTTGGTAGGAATTAAATTACAAATTTTACAAATTTTACAAATTTTACAAATTTTACAAATTAATTTGTAAAATTTGTAAAATATCAAAAAAATCTGGCCCAAAATTACAAATTTTACAAATTTTACAAATTCTAGTCTGAGAAATTAGCTTCCAGGGGAATTTGGTAGGAATTAAATTACAAATTTTACAAATTTTACAAAATTTTTTTACAAATTAATTTGTAAAATTTGTAAAATATCAAAAAAATCTGGCCCAAAATTACAAATTTTACAAATTTTACAAATTCTAGTCTGAGAAAATTAGCTTCCAGGGGAATTTGGTAGGAATTAAATTACAAATTTTACAAATTTTACAAATTTTACAAATTTTACATTTTACAAATTAATTTGTAAAATTTGTAAAATAACAAAAAAATCTGGCCCAAAATTACAAATTGTAAAATCAAATGGCCCAAAATTACAAATTTTACAAATTAATTTGTAAAATTTGTAAAATATCAAAAAAATCTGGCCCAAATTACAAATTTTACAAATTTTACAAATTCGAGTCTGAGAAATTAGCTTCCAGGGGAATTTGGTAGGAATTAAATTACAAATTTTACAAATTTTACAAATTTTACAAATTTTACAAATTAATTTGTAAAATTTGTAAAATATCAAAAAAATCTGGCCCAAAATTACAAATTTTACAAATTTTACAAATTAATTTGTAAAATTTGTAAAATATCAAAAAAATCTGGCCCAAAATTACAAATTTTGCAAATTTTACAAATTCTAGTCTGAGAAATTAGCTTCCAGGGGAATTTGGTAGGAATTAAATTACAAGTTTTACAATTTTTACAAATTTTACAAATTTTACAAATTAATTTGTAAAATTTGTAAAATATCAAAAAAATATGGCCCAAAATTACAAATTTTATAAATTTTACAAATTAATTTGTAAAATTTGTAAAATATCAAAAAATCTGGCCCAAAATTACAAATTTTACAAATTCTAGTCTGAGAAATTAGCTTCCAGGTGAATTGGGTAGGAATTAAATTACAAATTTTACAAATTTTACAAATTTTACAAATTGATTTGTAAAATTTGTAAAATATCAAAAAATCTGGCCCAAAATTACAAATTTTACAAATTCTAGTCTGAGAAATTAGCTTCCAGGGGAATTTGGTAGGAATTAAATTACAAATTTTACAAATTTTACAAATTTTACAAAATAATTTGTAAAATTTGTAAAATATCAAAAAGATCTGGCCCAAAATTACAAATTTTACAATTTTACAAATTAATTTGTAAAATTTGTAAAATATCAAAAAAATATGGCCCAAAATTACAAATTTTACAAATTTTACAAATTCTAGTCTGAGAAATTAGCTTCCAGGGGAATTTGGTAGGAATTAAATTACAAATTTTACAAATTTTACAAATTTTACAAATTTTACAAATTTTACAAATTAATTTGTAAAATTTGTAAAATCAAAAAAATCCGGCCCAAAATTACAAATTTTACAAATTTTACAAATTAATTTGTAAAATTTGTAAAATATCAAAAAAATCTGGCCCAAAATTACAAATTTTACAAATTTTACAAATTAATTTGTAAAATTTGTAAAATTTGTAAAATTTGTAAAATTTGTAATTTAATTCCTACCAAATTCCCCTGGAAGCTAATTTCTCAACTAGAATTTGTAAAATTTGTAAAATTTGTAATTTTGGGCCAGATTTTTTTGATATTTTACAAATTTTACAAATTAATTTATTTTGGGCCAGATTTTTTTGATATTTTACAAATTTTACAAATTAATTTGTAAAATTTGTAAATTTGTAAAATTTGTAAAATTTGTAATTTAATTCCTACCAAATTCCCCTGGAAGCTAATTTCTCAGACTAGAATTTGTAAAATTTGTAAAATTTGTAATTTTGGGCCAGATTTTTTTGATATTTTACAAATTTTACAAATTAATTTGTAAAATTTGTAAAATTTGTAAAATTTGTAATTTTGGGCCAGATTTTTTTGATATTTTACAAATTTTACAAATTAATTTGTAAAATTTGTAAAATTTGTAAAATTTGTAATTTAATTCCTACCAAATTCCCCTGGAAGCTAATTTCTCAGACTAGAATTTGTAAAATTTGTAATTTTGGGCCAGATTTTTTTGATATTTTACAAATTTTACAAATTAATTTGTAAAATTTGTAAAATTTGTAATTTTGGGCCAGATTTTTTTGATATTTTACAAATTTTACAAATTAATTTGTAAAATTTGTAAAATTTGTAAAAATTTGTAATTTAATTCCTACCAAATTCCCCTGGAAGCTAATTTCTCAGACTAGAATTTGTAAAATTTGTAAAATTTGTAATTTGGGCCAGATTTTTTTGATATTTTACAAATTTTACAAATTAATTTGTAAAATTTGTAAATTTTGTAAAATTTGTAAAATTTGTAATTTAATTCCTACCAAATTCCCCTGGAAGCTAATTTCTCAGACTAGAATTTGTAAAATTTGCAAAATTTGTAATGTTGGGCCATATTTTTTTGATGTTTTACAAATTTTACAAATTAATTCGTAAAATTTGTAAAATTTGTAATTTTGGGCCAGGTTTTTTTATATTTCACAAATTTTGCAAATTCATTTGTAAAATCTGGAAATTTCACTTTTTACACATGTACTTGCGACATTTTGTGAAATGCTTAATTGTTAACCAAATTTGTTGGAATTTGGCATAGTTCAGAAACTAATCTGCAACATGTGTAAAACTTGTAAGGTAACTCCAGCCAAATCTCCCCGGAAAGCAAATTCCCCAGAGTACGTTTCAATGTCAGCAAATCCGATTTAGAATTACAAGCTGGATTTGAACAAACATTGCTCGGGGGTTGCAAATTGCACAAGCTAGTTTGTAAAAAGTCGGTCCAGAATTACACAAATTACAAGTAAAGGTGTGAACATTGTAAACTTGATAAAACTTGATCACCGTCCTTCCCTTAACGGCTTTTTTTGGGTCAAGTTTGTTTCATTTTGAATCGGTTGAAGTTTGGTAAGGAAATGGGGAGGAAAGCATATTATCTTTTCATTTGGAATCTCTCTTTTCTGTTATTTCCATGTGTTTGTTTTTCTTTAGGATCTCGAATTCATACTCCTTTCTTTATCTTTCACTCTCTCCCCTGACCATTTCTTCCTACAATCAACTCAATAAACTAGGATGGAAAAGACAGGGATAAAGAAATAAACATAAGATAGGTACCTGATGGAGAAAGAGATGGAGAAAACCGTACAAATAGAAAGACATGGAAAGGCGACTGGGATTGTGGGATGGATTCATTTGTATCTCAGAGATTTTATCGCATACCAGGTTAGACCAATCGATGAAGGTAAGGGAAAGGGAAAGGTGTGAAAGAACAAAGAATGATTAAGAAAACCTTCCGCCCAGACATCACGCAGAATACACCAGATAGCCTGTCCGTGAGACTTGGAGGATATGATGATTGAAGATTCCCTCACTATCCCTTTCCAGCCTGTCTTTGGGGCCTCTTCCAAATCATTGCCTGCTTCCTCTTGTCCATCCATCCTCATCCTTTATTTGCATTTATGGATGGGCAAGAAGTGACGAAAGCATTTGCAGGCAGTAATAATTACGGTAGAAAACGTAATATCCTCCCTTTCTTTTCAAAATCCTGTTTTATACAAGCTAACAACATAAAAAGGGCGCGAGACAGTTATGACAAAGCTAAAGATAATTATGGGTGGTGCTTACAGAAGCTATCTAATTTATTGCGTGCTAATACATGCTTCTAATCTTAAAACCCATACTTACATTCCTCGTTCTTTTCTATTTTATTCTTCCCTTGTTGAGATTCATTGCGCTATCTTTCTTTGTGAATGCTTTTGGCTGTCCGGTCGTCGCTGGGGCTCACCGAAAGGCAAAAAGATTATGAGTAGGTCTTACTCATATTATTTTGCTTGTGTTTTACTATCTTTTGGACCTTTCATCCTTCCCCTTCTTCTGTTCCCTTTTCAACCGTTGAAGAATGCCAGAAATCGAGGGGTGAAGGAAGGAGGGAGAAGCTAGCCCCCCCGTTCCTTCTTCTCCAACTGTATCGCTAGTGGGGAGAAGATAGGAAGGAGATCAACCGTTCCATCTTTACCTTTCCCTTCCCCACTACGTTCTGGAGTTCTGTCACTACGAAAGACTCACGATGGAACAGTCTAAAAGTGGGACGAAGGAAGGGGATATTGGCTTTATTTTTGGTTTATTTGTAGAAAAAGAAAGCCACTTTCCACAACCCGCTTCTTTCTGTAAAAAAACAGATGGAAGAAGATGACCTTTCCTTTCCCGGCCCAGCCAACGCTTGTCATTTTCCTTGCCTTGTCTTTTACATTGCCATGTTTTGGAAATGAAGAAGTAAAGCGTCTGGCAAGGAGGTAAGCGCCCATCAATACTAATTGAAGATACCGAATTGGATGGGCACTTACCATGGCTTTCCATCACTTCTTTCTTTCCTTTTGATTAAATTGAAGATTGAAAATGGGAAGTGAGAAGCCTCTCTTGACTTCTTCCTCAAGCACAGGCTGCTGTTAATCTTATGCCGTGTGATGCTTGGGAAGAAGAAGAAGAAGAAGAGAAGATAGGAGAGGGTGAACAGAAGTAACGTGATTCTTTCTTTTCCTCCGATCGCATCCTGATTTTCCCATGTATGTCACCCACCAAAATCTTCAACCCATAAAGATTTGACTACAGAATCCTTAAAACCTTTTTAATAGCAAATGCTAGCGGTCTCTCTCTTTTGCTAATAATCTTCTGGAAATGAAAGGACAATAATAGAGTTTTAGATCATAGGATGGTGTAAGGACTGGGTTCTTCTCATCGTTGACGTCCTTCCTTGTCCAAGTCACGGAGGAAGAGAGGTTGGTTTGTGGTCCCAAGAGCTTGTATCCTTCCCTTTCTATCTCTTCCACTTCATCCAGGAAACATTTGTGGATGGACATGTCGTTATTAAGATCATTGCCTTTCGGTTTACCATCCCATTTATTGCTTGAATGTCTATCTTTGTTGTCTTCCATTTACAATATTATCTGAGAAGTATAGAAATGCTTCTGGGTGTGAGGTTGAAAAAATTGGCGATGTAAAGAAAATCACGATGGTTGGAACAGAAAGTTAATCATTACCAAGAATAGGTTCATAGTCTCTCATCTGCTGGTTGCATTCTCATGTACTTGTTCACTTTGCAACCTTTCTACTTGTTTATCTATCTTCCCAATCTCTCTTTCTCTCTCTCGCATTGTAAACGTTGGAGGCATCTGGATGGGGGAAAAAAACCCGGGGGGGAATAACAAATATGAAGAAGAGGAACTGGCTAACACTCCTTCTGCTCTCCCGTCTTTCGCGGCTGTCAGGATTAGTAAGAATTACGAAAAAGGCCTATGAAGAAACATAATAGATACATAGATAAATAAATCAATAGGCAAATGACAGAACCAAGAACATGAAAGTAATAAAGAATGTTAATAAATGAAACGGTCTATTGGGAGACAAATTATTCTTGTCCATCAAGAACCCTCTCCAACACAGTGAAAAACCTAGAGTGGACAATGATGGATATGATAGAAAACGCAATAAGATAATAAAACGCAGAAAGCTATGAGATTACAACGATTCTGTAATTATTGCCTTTAAATTCACCCCGTGACCACTTCATCCCATTTACACAAATATATTGGAGAAGATATTAGTGCATGATGAAGAATAAACACAAATTATAACCATAGATAGTTTGCTTGACTCTGAAGAGGCTGTTGGTCTTTACTCATGGAGTTTATTTAGTTGTATCTTCTTTCTGCTTTTGTTCTATTAGAATTTCCTTGCAAAATCTCTCACTCACTTCCTATTGTATCATTAGATATGTGCAATATTCTTGAGTTTTAGGTGAGAATGAAAAGGATATTAATAGTTCAGGTTGCTGGAGAAGGACGGAACACTATTTACGAAAGGCTATTTATTTACTAGAATCTCATGAGTAATGTTAACTAATTTGTATCGATTGGGGTTTATTTCTCACCTTCTCTTTTTAAGGGGTTTCCTTTTGCCTCCCTTCATCGCTAGAAGTGACCGAAGGAAGTTAATAGTTTTCTCATCATAGTTTTCTCATCAGAATATTGCCTGTCCAAATAGAGTGATGAATGAAGAGACGCTTAACTGTTATTATTGCTTAAGTGACGTCTCACGGACAGGCTACGTCTCCAGACCCTTTTTATATCTCTCTGATTGTTCTTTCCTTTTATGTTTATTTGACCAGCATTTGTTTACTATTTACTTCTTCCTCACTGACATTCGATCTTCTCTAACTCTGTTATCTGTTACTGTGGCTTTAATCATTTGATTAACATTTTCCCCTTTCCATTCCCATGCTCTATCTTGGTGAGCTAGCAAACGTTTAATTTAGAAAAAATATGGAAGTGATAGATAGGAGGACATCATTATTTGTTTCTATTAATACTACTTCACGAAGGTATACCGTGTGCTTTTATCACACTCTCTCACAACCAAAGAGAGGATGTTCATCTGGTCTTCATCACCCCTCACCCTTTTTTTTCTATTACTACAAACTAGCTGGTTCTTTCAGGGTGGGGCATGCCAAGACATTCCTTTCTACTCTTGGGATTGCACCAAAAGAGTCCATGTGCAACAATGAGCCGTTCTGCTCTTGAAGGCGCGCGGCGGCACATTGTACGTAATCTTCCCTGCCACCCCCCCCCCCCCCCTCCCCAAACTGGGTGGTTTCCCTTTGGTTTCCCTTTAGCCAACACGAGAGAGTACCCTCAAACGAAACATCCATTTGGGTTGAACCTGCACCAGCCAAGTTATTGCTAAGGGAGACATTCCGAATTCTAGTCATGCATTTCGATTTGGGAGTCGTGCAGCTTCCTAGACTTCCCCACGTGGTTTCCTGAACATAGGCGCTGTGGTTTCAGGAGGTTCAACGGCCAGAAGGGGCTGGGCTGAGCCAGAAGATGAGGGCTTTTGTCCCTTTTTGGTGCTTCTGTCCTGCTCAGGAACGGCCACCACTTTTCGTTCTACCTGGCCGCCCAGTTGCTGTTGGCATCCCTTTTTTCCTGAGCTTTCGCGTGTGTGGGGAGGTCCCTTTGAACCAACACAGCAGTACTATCATAATCCAACATGCGGGTGTGTCTTTTTCAGGGAAATGTGGTCCTTTCGGTTTCCCCAAACAACCACCAACAAAGGCGGCGTAGCCTCACAAAACCACGCGCCACCCCATATTTCATATTACCACCATTCTCCCCCGTTTTAGAGGACGTGGGACTCACTTCTCCAGATCCCACACCTTTCTCCGCGTGGGATACATGTCCCTTTCAAACAAGAGGGTTGATCGCACCGCCCCTTTCCACTTTCCTGGAATTTCCAAACCCGCCCCCGGGGGGACGATCTTTTGTTGGGTTTCCCGGGGCCTTGGCATTCCATTTCAGGGCTTTTGGGGATCTGCCGGTTGCCACGGGAGCCAAAGGCCATTTCATGTTCCCACGGGTCCATACCACCCTCTGGTTGCCTGTTGCAAAGTAAGTTTCCTGTTGGTGTGATATTAAAAGTGGATAGGGTGTGTTGGTTTAAAGGGACGCCCTCAGGTTTGACACATGTTGCACGGCATGTGCTTCGATCCCTTCATTTCCCGAAATCGGGTGAACAAAGTTTTCCGATGTCCCTTCATGGAAACAAGCTGAAGAGACCCAACGCCGAACAGTTCCCAGTATGCCCCGTTTGGGTAGTTCTGTTGGTCAGGTGATATCTTAGACTCCAGGATTTCCCAGTTTTGGTTGACCCCAGGTCTCTTCATTTCCCCCAAGTCAAATGGCCGTGGGTCAACACCAATGGTGCCATTTTGGGGTAGGTGCACCACCCATTTTAGTCTATTTAGTGGGGATTGGGATGTTCACGCGACCCATAGCCAAATCGGACATTTTCCCCGAATCGTTTGAGGCTCTATGCGCGTCCTTCGCGGTGGGGGCCTTTCTGCATCGCCTCTGCGAGAACTGGTGGCCCAACCGCGGAGGATCCTTGGCGGCTGTGCCTTTCACGGTGCTCATGCCCCCCGGATGCGTCGGAGTCAGACGAAGCCCCAGTAAAACGCCAAGCGCCGTCTTTTTTGGGGGTTGGTTTTTTGCAGGTAAACCAAGGGGAGCCCTATGTCAAGATACTGAAGGTTGCGGGGGACAGGCCTCTTTGCTTCTTTACAGGCTTGGGTAGACCGCTTGCAAGGCTTTGTTCGTCAGCCGGCATAATTCATGAGTTTCCTAGAGGATGCATCTTTCTCTGATCCCTTTTTCTCTCACACACACACACACGCACACATTCGTGCGCACCCGCACGCACGGCACCGCACCGCACCGCCCCTCCCCCCGCCCCGCCCCGACGCGCCCCGCTACGCCCCGCCCCGCCCCGCCCCGCCATGCCACGCCACGCCTCGCCACGCCACGCCACGCCGCTCATGAACGCGCGTGCACGCGCGCGCCCACGCACATGCTCACGCACACGTGCACCGCACACGAGCACACGCACACGCACATGAACGCACGCGCGCGCGCAGAGACACACGGGGGGAGAGACACACGGGGGGAGAGATACGGGGGGAGATACCGAGGAAGACACGGGGGGACATCAGGGGGGAGACACCGGGGGGGAGACACGGAGAGAGACACCGAGGAAGACACGGGGGGGAGACACTGGGGGGGAAAAGCACCGGGGGGCCGGGGGGGAGACTCCTGGGGGGACACCGGGGAGAGACACCAGGGCAGAGACAGCGGGGGAGAGACACCGGACACACCGGGGGGGAGAGGCACCGGGGGAGAGACACCGGGGGAGAGACACCGGAAAAGAGACTCCGTGGAGACACCGGGAGGGGAGACACCGGGGGGACCGGGGGGGGAGGAGACACCGGGAAGGGGGAGACAGCGAGAACAGACACGCGCAGAGATGCACAGAGACACACAGAGTCGCACAGAGACGCACGGAGACGCACAAACACGCACAGAGACGCACAGAGATGCACAGAGACGCACAGAGACGCACCGAGACGCACCGAGACGCACCGAGACGCACCGAGACGCAACGAGACGCACAGAGACGCACAGAGAGGCGCCGAGGCATGCAGGCAGGCAGGGCTCGCAGGCGCGCAGGCGTGCAGGCGCGCAGGCGCGCGCGCAGGCACGCAGGCACGCAGGCACGCAGGCACGCAGGCACGCAGGCACGCAGGCACGCAGGCACGCAGGCATGCAGGCACGCAGGCGCGCAGGCACGCAGGGCACGCAGCAGGGCACGCAGGGCACGCAGCAGGGCACGCAGGGCACGCAGGGCACGCAGGGCACGCAAGGCACGCAGGGCGCGGGCCACGCGTGGCGCGCGTGGCACGCGCGGCGCGCGTGGCACGCGTGGCACGCACGCCACGCACGCCACGCACGCCACGCAC